CGCGGGTGGGTCGCAAATGGGTCGCGGGTGGGTGGCGGGTTGGGTCGCGGGGTGGGTCGCGGGATGGGTCGCGGGGTGGGTCGCGGGTGGGACGACGACAACAAACAACAACAACAACAACAACAACAACAACAACAACAACAACAACAACAACAACACCAACAACAACAACAACAACAACAACAACAACAACAACAACAACAACAACAACAACAACCAGTTTAAGGCTGTACGCTCTTACTTGCCCGCGAGTCATTCAACACGTATACCCTACACCCTCGATGCCCGCCCTCTTCGTCTTCGATCACACCCCTTTCGGGGGGATTATTTCTCTTTGCTGGGGCCGGCGGGCTTAGACGTACGGGCAAACCGAAACGGGCGGACAATCCTTCGGGGGCGTACATCTCTCTGCCCGCCATTGGAATTGGCGCGGGCCCTGCAAGAGGAGGAGGGGAAGAACGAGGGAGAGTGGGAGGAAGGGGAGGGGGAAGGACGAAGGAAGAGGGAAGATACCACGTTGTGAAGGCGTCCTTGGCGCGCGCGTGGTTCCTGAGCGCCGAAACGCAATTCCAGAATAATTTGTGAGGACGTCGCACGCGAGAGCGCAGTCCTGAGTACATTGTGAGGAAATCTCGGGCGGAAGCGGGGGGCCTGACTAAGTTGCGAGGAAGTCTCAAGCGGGAGCGCCGTTCCTGAGCAAATCGCACGGAAGTCTCAGGCGGGAGCGGGGGTCCTGCGAGGAAGTCTCAAGCGGGAGCGCCGTTCCTGAGTCAATTGCGCGGAAATGTCAAGCAGGAGCGGGGGTCCTGAGTAAAATTCGAAGAAATTTTAGACAGGAGCGCCGTTCCCACGTAAATTGCACGGAAGTCTCAGGCGGGAGCGGGGGTCTTGATTACATTGCGAGGAAGTCTCAAACGGGAGCGCCTTTCCTGAGTAAGTTGCGGGGAAGTCTCAGGCGGGAGCGGGGGTCCTCACTAAATTGCGAGGAAGTCTCAAGCGGGAGCCGTTGTTGTTGTAGCCCGGGGGGCAGGGGCACAGTTTGAGCAGGAAGACTTTCCTTGAGAAAAAACAAGGTGCGAGCCCCGGGGGTGGCACTTCAATCGAAAAAAAAACAATGTGCACCGGTGGGGGGGGATCAACAATAATTACTCTTCAAGAATGAGAGTTCAACAATCATCTTAAGACTGTTCGCCCTTATCTGCTCGAACGAATAACGCGAATTTCCCAAACCCTCGATACCCGCCCTTTTCGTCTTCAATCGAACCCCTTTTGGGGGGTATACCTTTCTTCCCTGCAGGCCGGGCCCCGGCAAGCGGCGGGGCGGCCGCGGACCGTCGGCCTGGCCAGCGGCAGCGCTGATCGGCGGGGCGGCCGCGGAACGTCGACCCGACCCCAAGAGGGACGGACAGGGGACCGACCACGACGACGACGACGACGTCGTCGACGACGACGGCAACGACGGCGACGGCGACGACGACGACGAGCGAAAGCGAGAGCGAGAGACAACGACAGCAGAGCCACGAAGGACACGATGTAGGCCACGAAGGGCGACAGCGGGGACACGAAGGGAATGCGTATGGGGCCACGAAGAGCGCGAACGAGCGGGGGCCACGAAGGGCAGATAATGCGGGGCCACAGAAGGCAACGATGGGGCCACTGAGGGTAGCACCTGGGCCACGTAGGACAATGAGGGGGCCACAAACGGCGACAGCGGGGCCACGAAGGGCATGCACACGGGGCCACAACGGGCGCGAACGAGCGGGGGCCACGAAGGGCATACGTATGTTGGGCCGCGGGGGGTATGGACGGGGCCACTGAGGGCAGCAACGGGGACTCGAAGGGCAGCGAGGGGGCCACAAAGGGCGACAGCGGGGCCACGAAGGGCATGCATATGGGGCCACCACGGGCGCGAACGAGCGGGGGCCACGAAGGGCATACATATATGGGGCCACGACAAAAGCGAGGGGGCCACGAAGGGCTGCAACGGGGCCACGAAGGGCAGCGAGGGGGACACGAAGGGCAGCGAGGGGGCCACGACAGGCTGCAACGGGGCCACGAAGGGCAGCGAGGGGGCCACGAAGGGCTGCAACGGGGCCACGAAACAAAGCGAGGGGGCCACGAAGGGCTGCAACGGGGCCACGAAACAAAGCGAGGGGGGCACGAGGGGCTTCAACGGGGCCACGATGGGCAGCGAGGGGGCCACGAAGGGCTGCAACGGGGCCACGAAAAAAAAACGAGAGGGCCACGAAGGGCTGCAACGGGGCCACGAAGGGCAGCGAGATCCCGATTCCTAGGTAATTTGTAAAAAGGAATCCTAAGCGTGAGCGCGACTCCTGGGTGCCTGGGTGTCGGGAGCGCGGCGCTGGAGTAAATTGCAAGAAATTCCAACGCAAGGGCGCGATTCTTCAGTACATTGCAGGCAAGTCTCCAGCGAGAGCGCGACTCCAGAGCGCAGGAGGAACGATTCCTGAATAAATCGTAAGGAAGTCCCAAGCGAGAGCGCGATTCTTGAATAAAATGCGAGGAAGTCTCGGGCGGGAGCGGGGGCCCTGGCTAAATTGTGAGGAAGTCTCAAGCGGGAGCCGTTGTTGTTGTAACCCGGGGGCCAGGGGGCCAGTTTGAGCAGGAAGACTTTCCTTAACAAGAAACAAGGTGCGAGCCCCGGGGGGGCACTTCAATTGAAAAAAAAACATATGTGCACCGGTGGGGGGATCAACAATAATTATTCTTTAAGAATGAGAGTTCAACAACAACAACAACAACAACAACAACAAGAACAACAACAACAACGCAACAAGCAGAATTCTCTCCACGAATTCCCTATTCAGCCACGCACCCAGGGACAATGAATGACCGTTCAGTCCCCTCACTCTGACAAACAGCCCAAAAACGTGGCGGCACAAACGGCACACAATGAGTGGATTTGGATCGCGCGCCGCCTGGAAGATGACGGCCTGCCTGTACGCTCCGCCATCATCCTCAATCACGTGGCGGAGGCCAGTGGGCACACAAACTCTGTTGTCCTTGGCAATGGGGCTCGAGACAGCAATATCAACGGGACTCCAAAGACGCAAACAAATAATGAGCGGGCAGTGTATGAAAGGACTCGACGAGCAATATAGGCGCAACAACGAGTTCGGATCAGTCAACGTAGACGGACGGCGGAAGCGGCGCTCCACAGTTAGGTCTGCTCGAGCTACTCTGATAGAGCAAAGGCACGTGACGAAGAAGTGTGAGATGCTTGCGCGCACAGTTCGGGCTCAGCAATACTCGTTCCAGCGCCTGGCTACGATTGGCACGCAACAACAAATACCTACAATATCACAACAACAATTTCCAGTGTACGTAGAATCGATTGCCATGAGCCGCGCAATATCTGCATATCCAACAAGCAATACCTCTACGACCACCCTTCGGGCGATAAGGAGGTGCGGGGAGGGAGGAACCAACGTCTCACTCGATCGGTCTCACCATCGATCTCACTATCGATCTCACTATCGATCTCACTATCGGTCTCGCTCGATCGATCTCACTCGATCGATATCACAATCGATTTCAGTCGATCAATTTCATTCGATCGATATCAGAATCGATCTGACTATCGATCTCACAATCGATCGCACTATCGGTCTCACTATCGATCTCTCAATCGATCTCAAATTCGGTCTTACTACCGATCTCACTATCCATCTCACAATCGGTCTCACAATCAACGTCAACATCACCATCAAAATCATCGTCATCAACGACATCAACATCCTCATCATCATCACCATCATCGGGACACCATCATCATCACCCCATCACCATCATCATCAACATCATCATCATTATCACCATCATCATCACCGTCATCATCAGGACACCATCATCGCCACCATCATCATCACCAACCTCATCATCATCGGGACACAATAATCATCATCGGAGCACCACGACCACCATCATCACCATCTCATCATCATCATCATGAACAAGATCATCAACATCACCATCGGGACACCATCATCATCAGCATCATCATCAACATCATCATCATCATCGGGACACCATCATCATCGTCACCATCATCATCATCACCATCATCATCATCGGGACACCATCATCATCAACCTCAGCATCATCACCATCACCATCATCGGGCCACCAGCATCAACATCATCATCACCTCATCATCATCATCATCATCCTGATCCTCAACATCATCATCAGCATCATCATCGAAACACCATCATCGTCATCGTCATCATCATCAACATCATCATCGGGACACCATCATCATCACCATCATCATCAACAGCATCATCATCAACCTCATCATCATCATCAGCATCATCGGGGCACCGTCATCATCTTCATCATCATCATCTCATGATCAACTCATCATCATCATCATCAACATCATCATGATCATCAACCTCATCATCATCATCACCATCATCGGGACACCATCATCATCACCAGCAACATCATCATCACCATCATCATCATCACTGGGGCATCATCATCATCACCACCATCATCATCATAAACATCGTCAACATCATCATCGCCACCACCGGGACACCAGCATTATCACCACCATCACCATCACCATCATCATCATCATCATGATCATCATCAACATCATCGACATCATCATCACAGTCATCATCGGGACACCGACGGGACACCGACGGGACACCGGCGGGACACCGGCGGGACACCGCGCGCTACTAGACGCCGGAAGGGAATCATTTGGTCCGGCCGCGCCTCAGCCACAGCGGGAAACCGGCGGGACACCGCGCGCCACCGTACGCCGGAAGGGAATCATTTGGTCCGGCCGCGCCTCAGCCACAGGAGACTTTGCCTCTCGCCCGCCCACGCAGCTTCGCCTCGCCCGCACACACGGCACGCACGAACACGAAACCGAAACCGATTTCCCGGTAGGTGGGCTCTCCGTTCCACTTCGATCTCACCCCCTCACCTCCGAACCGCGCAGAACACGCAATCGGTAGGTCCTCCCGCTCTTCCCAGAATGCAACCTCGCCGCTACCCTTTTTCACAACCAAGTACTTGTAGCTCGCGGTCTTGCCCAGGGGCATCAGCACTGCTCGCGACGAGTAGCATCCCGAGACGTCGAGCGACTCCTCCAGAACAACACCTTTCTCCGGCGTCCAGTTGCCAAGCTGGTCGCTATCGCCGACCACCCGCACCTCCTGGTCCACCTGAGGCAGGCCGCCACATGAGCAAGCATCCCAACTGGGAACTAACAAGTGCAGGACCATAGGTCAACGCAGGCGCCCACTGCCGCTCTCCAGCAGCACCAAGAAGGAACATAACTGAGAGGAAGAAGACGGGCAAGGGTAACAAATCTACTACATTGCCGCGTCGGACGAAAAGGGGGGATATCAAGAAGGAGTTAGCGACTCGGTTCACGTAGCTGGCTTTCCCAACGCCTTCTGGCGCCAGAGGCGACAATCTATCGGGAAAAAGCGCCGGGCGGCTGGGCCGAAACCGGCTTCACGCAGCAGATTGCGTAACCATCCCCTTCCCATCCCCGCCACCGTGCCCCTTCCACGCAGTGGAGCGCCCTCAGGTCCGCTCGGACTGGGGGGGAGCAAAGACATACGTACTGACACCGCTGCGTACTCCCCAGACCTCTCCCAGGAAGCGTTCTGACCAGGATTTCGAGGCGCGTCCAGACGGGGCTCACAAACAGGTCCCCCCTCAGGAGGCCCACAAGGGCGAAGACGAGGGAAGGACGGCGGCACCGCTATCTACCCCTCTTCTGTCTGTTTGGCCTCACGGCTGGGGAATCTCAAAGGCCACCCCCCGCGCGGGCTTCCTCATCGGGCAAAACTCCCACGAGTCCCGGGGCATGACCGGGAATCAGGGCCTCCCCGCATGGCTCCAAGGTGGCCCCAGGGGCAGTCCAAGGGCCCTCTTGGGGCTCTGCTGGGCCGTCTTCTGGGCCCTCGAGGCCAGCTCAAGGAGCCAACCTGGTATAACAGGGCTGGCATTCCAACATCATTCTGCACATCTCACCTCTTTGGCCCGGCGGCCGTTCGGGGACAATCTGGCGGCCCTTCGGGGACGATCGGGGCACCACCGGAACGCTCTCGGCGTGGCGCAGCCGCTGGAGAGCACCCCGAGGCCCAGGGACCGCCGAGAGAACCGACGGAAACGCCCGACAACCTCGAACTTGAAACTTATCCCCATGAGACCCCTTATCAAAGGCGATCCCATGAACCCGCTGCTGATCCCACCGAGCTCGATGCACAACCCCCTGAGCCAGTCCACCCTAACGCTGCTTTTCCTAAGCGTAACCCCCTCCCCTAAGGATGCACCCAGCCCCTGGCCCCTGCGAAACAACAGAAACTGCAAGCTGAGCGCCGCCTGAACGTCATCGAACCTGCACCGGAACACGACGCGCGTCAGGCACGGCTTGCCGCCGCCTGCCGACATGGCAGCCTGCTCGTGCTCCAGACGAGCCTGGGCCGCCAAGCTGCGGAACCGCCTGGGCCAACCATCGAATCCCAGATCCCCGACAAGCTCGGGAACGTTTTTTCTCGATATCGGCCCTTGGGGTCCTTTCTCGGGACGTGGGACCATCAAAACATGCTCAGGGACGAAAAACTACCACCCAGGACGCAATCGGAACCTGTGGGACCGCATCTGAAAAACAGAACAAACAAATCTTCGGACCTCAGGGAAACGACAGTGTATCTATCCAGATCCAGGCGCCTAGGGAACCGACGTCCTGGGGCCCAATCGACAGGTGGATGCGGAACATGTTTGTATATATGCGCCTCTATCATGTAAACACATGCATAAACATATACACATACACGTTCCCCAAACACTGTTTGCATGTATGGGGCTTTACTTCTGGTGTAAGCAACTCCGTCTCCTTCAGCAAGACGCAGATTCGACGACACTCGAAATAACCGCACCCTCTAACGCAAGGAATGAGATTAGGCAAAAATCATTGAAATTAATGGCCGTTACAAAGAAGATGCTCAGGATGAGTGGGGCAAAAATCACGAGAACCATTGCCAAAACACAAACAAATCCACTGCGGAGCCGACTCCGTGAACCAAGCCCTGGCCGAAAATGACGTGCACCTCCGCCCCGGCCAGAGTAGGTTCTTTCTTCCAATCGGTCAAACCATCACATCCAAATCGAATTAACAAGTCGCCTGGCCATGCGCAAACAAAAATCAAGAAAGTAGCTGCGGTTCCGGGGAGAAAGGATCGTGGACTCACCAACTCGAATATGTTATGGGCGAAGCAGCTTCCATGACTGAGACCGTTCTGCTCCTCGGCGGCTCCAACAGCTGAGCAGCCGATGAATGTCCACGCTATGCCCAGAACTCGCCAAAGCGTATCGCAAGTGGTTGGTGGCGCGGTTGACGGCACACATCGCCAGTGCTGTCTGGGTCTTGTCTTCGTCGTGCGTGTCTGCGCCCATCTGAGAGGCAGAACAGCTGGATGGCTGAGTTTGGGGGGGGGCAAGCCTGAGGGTCTTGCCGCCCGCATGAACTCCCACACCACCGCACAAACATAATAATGTTCCAAACTATCTGCTCCGGGTTCGCAACCCAAACAAGCAGCTACCGCGGGCATCCTGACTGGAAGCACCTGCATGGCGCAAGCGGCGGCGAAGAGTCCATCAAGTGAACGCAACACGAAGATATGCCGCGGTCACCCGAAGCGGACACAAATGGTAGACTCGCGCAAAGTTTGCACGGATCCTCCCTGCTGCGCCAGCTGGGTCGCCTTTGACATGTCATTTTGGTGCATTGTGCTGAAGCCGCTGATCCCGGCTGCCGCAGTTGGTCCGGATAGGAGGCGTGGCTGCCGCTTGGAATTGCGGCAATTTCGGCCGAGAGGGAAAAGCGGCGATGGCCAGTCGAACCGCTGAGCGGGTGACGCCCATGCGCCCGAGTTGCTCCTGTGTCCGGGTCACGATAGCAAAATACGAGTTCTGACACACGTTCCCGAAACAAAACGAAATTGTCAAAACATACTTACAATATCGTCCCCATACTATTTGAAAACTATGTTTAAATATTTCTCCTGTGGAAGGACAGGCCCGGTTTAACACTGGTCTCCACCGCCCGAAGTTTGGCGGCTTGGGCGAGATCGGCAGGGCTCGAGAATGAGCACGGCAGTCCGAACTTCTCGTTCAGCGCGCGCAAGTCAGCAGGCGCAACCTCGTTGCCAGGCACAGGGCCCCATGGCGCCCCAGAGCCCACGCATATGTGCTCGCAAAAGCTGCCGGCAGTTCCTCCACTTGCATCGCGAACGGAGGGACGGAGCACATGAACACGTTGAAGGCGATGGTCGCCGACAAAGTCAGTCAATGTGTGCGTCGACCACACCAACACTCGCTTGTGAAATTTACGCAACGGTTTGGTCCACGACTGACTGCACACTCCTAGGCCGATCCAGAAGCCCAAGTATTTCCCCTGCTTCGCAATGAAGATTTCCCGCCAAGTGGGGGCCAATCCTGTGATCAAGTTACGTAGGCCTCTTTCGGAACAATGTTTCCGAAAGGGGATTGAGACCATTCTCTTGTCCTTGAGGGCCATGCGGGAAATCGATGCAAACTCGGCAAACAATTTGGCGAGCGCAAGAATTGCGTTCCCATAGTCGTTCACTATCCCAGATGCGTCGACAGCGAAAACGCGAACGATTTCGTGGCCACGAATCGTATGTGTTTTGTCGCAACAGGACGTCAACGCGAATAACAAACAGCAGCGGCGACAACGGACACCCCTGCCTCACCCCACTGTTGACGGTGATGCTCTCGAGATATCCGTTGCCAACCTTGATATTGCGCACGTGCCTGGCGCAAAACATTGGCAACATGCGGACGTACTGATGCGGAAAATCAATACCATCCAGGACATCCCACATGGAAGTATGGCCAATGCTGGGGGGCAGCTGCGCAAAAAACGAACAGGAGCATTGCCCCCGAAGTGACGCTACCGATGTTTAGGAAGTTCCACGTGCCGCAACATCCGCGCCCAGCGCGTTGCAAAATATTTCCCAGATTCGGGTAAATCCTCAGTTTGGCGCGGTGGCTTAGGGCGACGTCGATTTTTCTCCAAAGCGACTTTGAAGATATATGCAAGGATGCGGTTGCTGGCGTCGACGATGGATTCAAAAAAAGTGCGGGTACTGCTTTGGTCGTAAGGAACTGGGCATGGGGTTTGGCGGCCCCCCGTTTGCCGTCGTCGCACCGTCGCCGCCTCGTCGACGCCCGTCGTCTGGGCATTGGCGCTGGTTTGGCACACCCGCGTTTGCCGTCGCAGCCCCGTCGCCGCCCGTCGTCTGGGCCTGGGCGTTCGTGTGGCGGCCTCGTGTTCGCCGTCGCCGCCCCGTCGCCGCCTCGTCGGCGCCCGTCGTCTGGGACTGGGCGTTGGGCGTTGGTCAGGAGGTTCCGCGCTCGCCGTCGCCGCCCACTCGCCGACCCGTCGCCGCAACAAGGGCCGCACCACATTGAATTCGCACCGTAGACATATATTCACTTCTGCCAAATGGGAAATCTGATCTACCACGGCCCGTCCCCGGATTGATCTGGCCGGCCCCGTGTATTGCATTGTTTAGGTTGACATGAGGCTGTGCCACGTTTTTTGTTTTCCATCTGAACCTATACCGCCCCAGCCAACCGGCATCGAGCCCCCTCATCCCTGGCAGATGACATTTTGCGCACACGCGTTGATCAAAAACTAACAAGTTGTAAGACCCCATGCGACAGAAACGATTACACAACGCCCAAGCACCCGCGTCGTGGCGCGCGCATGTCCTTGAAAAGCCCGTGACGTCGTCACGGTCTCAGGACCGACTGCCCAACAACACATAGAAACAAATAGTTCGGCAGCATGGGTTGGCTAAAGGTCAGTACTTTCGCTGTTGCGAACCTGTTTTGCTTCAGAAACCCATCTGTTACCAAATTCCAACCGATCTCGCCCAAATTAGCTTTTCGCACGTGCGTTGAAATCATTCGAAAACCCCCGCGCGCGCGGGGGGGGCGGGGGCGACCCCTGTCAAATAACACCATGCGGGCCATGCGGGCCACGCGCGCGCATGGGCCGCGCGCGCATGCCGAAATCTTTCCTTAGCGTTCATCACCGACGCGTGCACACCATTATCGTCATCGACTTGATCAGCATCGCCGCCGTCAGTGGCCTTGTCGTCGCCAGCGTCACCATCGCCACCAGCAGCGTTATTGTCATCATCGTGTCTGCTGTTGTCGACGTCGCCATGGTACGCCGCCCGCCCGAGTCACCGACTCTCCCAAAAGTGCCTGCGTGTCAGCGCGGCCTACGGGACGTGCTGGAAAGTGCCCAGGTGTCAGCACAACCGCAGCCGCGGCGGACGCGCCAGGTTGGCTGGCCGCTGAACGCGCGAACCCGCTCGCGCTAGCGCAGCGCAGCCATGTGCCAGCCAGCGCCCACCACCAATCACAATCGCAGCGGCATGCGGTGTGCAAGCCAAGTTGCGGGGGGGGGGCGGGGGGGGGCGATTGTGCGAACACTAGAGTCGACAACTCGATAGTGAGCAATGAGTAGTGAATCGCACCTGGTAGGTTGCGCCACATAGATTGCACAACTTACGCTGTCCTTTTCTGGAAAGTAATAGGATCCCACCCCTCCCCTACCCCACAGAAAAAACAATTCAACTTTTCCGCAATGCATTTTACCAATGGTTCTGCCCCATCGCCCATCCTGAATATAAACTCGTATCATCCGAACTCAGCCGGTATCCCCTGTGCGCGCTTTCGCTTATCACGAATCACAGGCTGTATCCCGTACAAAAAAGAACGGCATCCACACGCGCGCATCGTCGCGCGCGCATGCCAGAACCATTCGGAAACATGGGGGGACGTAAAGAATTCAACCAGCGAGCGCCCCAAAACATGAGAAAAAAAATAGGTTCGCGACAAGCCCTTCAAGAAAAACCTGCGCTCGCGCTGTTGCAGAGTCTGAATAACACAATAAGTTCTTCAACATGTTCATCCAATGCTCCCAGGCTAGCCTTTTCGCGCGCGCGTCGAAATCGTTCGAACGCCCTTGCGCGTGTGCTGTCGCAAGAAACCTTCGCAAAAATGGGACGGAATCCCTAAAAAACTCTGGGCTGCGGAAGACGGTTCCAACATCGTATCCCGACAACATAAACAAAAAACCAAACACACACACAATTATGCAACACATGTTCAACATTGCCTGCGTTGGCGGAGTTGCAAGATCTTACGACAACCACATGCTGTATATGAAAGCGTGTTCTTTACATTCTGCAAAACGGGAATTTCGCGCCGCGTGCCGACATGATTCAACCACCCTTGCGCGCGCGCTTGGGGGGGCACGACGCGTGTCAAGTAATACCATTCGGGCGGCTTCAACGCGCCGGCCGCGCGCGCATGTAGAACTCCCAAACTTGCATCACCGACGCGAAGACGCCGTCATCGTCGTCGGCATGATTTGCATCGGCGCCATCACTCGCCGTGCCGGCAGTAGTCAAGGTAGTATTACTAGTAGAAGAAGTGATAGTGGCATAGAAAGAAGAAGTAGTAGTAGCAGTAGGAATAACATAGTGATAGTAATAGTAGTAGCTGTAGTGGTAAAGGTTGTCGTAGAAGTAGCACTAGTAGTTGTCAAAATAAGCACATAATGGTAATAGTGGTCATAGTGGTACACGTGGAAGTAGTAGTAATCGTAGTAGTAATATGAATCGTAGTCGTAGCGGCGCGCGTAGCAGAAATGAGAATAGTAAGAATATGAATAGTAATAATACTAGCCGGAAGATAGTACTAGTTGTAGTCGTAGTAGTAGTCATCGTAGTAGCAGCAGTAGTAGTAGTAGTCGTCGTCGTCGCCGTGGTCGTAGTAGTAGTAGTAGTAGTAGTAGCAGCAGTAGTAGTAGTAGTAGTAGTAGTGGTAGTAGTAGTGATAGTAGTTGTCTAGTACGAGTGGTAGTAGTAGTCGTAGTAGTAGTAGTAGCAGTAGTAGTAGTATTAGTCCTAGTAGTGGTAGTAGTAGTCGTAGACGTAGATCTGGTCGTTGCAGTTGTAGTAGTGAAATTAACCGCCGTAGTGGTAATCGTAGTAGTAGTAGTCGTAGTAGTAGAAGTATTAGTAGTAGTAGTAGTAGTAGTAGTAGTAGCAGTAGTAGCGGTAGTAGCAGTAGTAGTGGTAATCGTCGTAATAGAAGTACTAGTGAACACAGTAGTAGTAGTAGTAGTAGTAGTAGTAGTAGTAGTAGTAGTAGTCCTAGTAGTAGTAGTAGTAGTAGTAGTAGTAGTAGTAGTAGTAGTAGTAGTAGTAGTAGTAGTAGTAGTAGTAGTAGTAGTAGTAGTAGTAGTAGTAGTAGTAGTAGTAGTAGTAGTAGTAGTAAGAGTAAGAGTAAGAGTAAGAGCAAGAGCAAGAGTAAGAACAATAATGCTATTACTATTCCTACTACTACGAGTCGCCGTAATTATTCGAATGGAAGAAATGAGAGTAGGAGTACTGCGAGCGGGGTCAGCTCAGCGCGGCACAAGTGGAAATCAATCCTTTTGGGTGCCTATGAAGAAGGATCTTGGAGGGAGGGTCTATTCCAATATCGTGTACACGTCGTGGGTTTACACGGGTCCGTCCTCCTCCTCCTCCTCCTCTTCCTGTTCTTTTCATCCTCCTCCGCATCCCTCCTCCATCTCTCCTCTTTCCTCCTCCTCCTCCTCTTCCTCCTCCTCCTCCCTCCTCCCCCTCCCTCCTCCTCCTCGTCCTCCTCATCCTCCTCATCCTCTCCACCTCCCTCCTCCTCCTCCTCCTCCCTCCTCCCCCTCCCTCTTCTTCCTCCTCCCCCTCCTCGTCCTCCTCCTCTTCCTCCTCCTCTTCCTCCTCCTCCTGCTCCTCCTCCTCCATCCCTAGCGAGCTGAGAACTGCGAATGTGTCGGCGCTTTCGAGGGCGGCTGGGGGTTCCAAAGGAGCGCCGACCAGCGGCCAAGTGCCAGGGCGCCAGGGCAAGGCTTCAGCACGCCCGCCGCGCCTTCGCTTCGCCGGGAGAAGGGGGGGGGGTTCTTCAATAGCTTCCCCAAGCAATTCTCGACGTCGTCGAAATCCCCATCGTCGAATCCACCGACCAAATCTCCAAGAGAAACGTGACAGCGCATCTGTTCGTTGGGCGTCTGACATGGCCCACCATCATTGGCGCCGTCGCTTGGCGCATCTCCAGCGGAACAGACCCTGTCGTTGCCCAACTCAGCAATCTCGTCGAGCGTCTTGCAATGATATTATGATGACTGCTCGTGAGTTCGACTGTCTGTCCGGCTTGTCTTTGCTGCCCGTGGCTTCCTTCTTCTCTGCCATGCCCTCGAAATCGCCCAACAACTTGCTGCGACGCAATCCCTCAGTGTCCATCTCAACGCTGGCCCGCGTTTGATCGTTCCCCCCTTCGCTGCTGAACTCGCGCGTGGTCGCCCCCCGCGCTGCCGGGCGCTTGATTTGGAAGGCCAGCAACAACGCGGCCACGCCCATCTTGTCATCCGGCGGCATGGCGGGGCGGCGCTCGCAGCGATTCACCGACTCCTGCTCTTCTGCCGCAGTCTTGCCCGTGATCCAGTTCTGCCAGTGAAGAACGATGACGCTTTTCGTCGCGTGCTTGCCCTCGCCCTGGTTGACCCCCATCGCCATCGCCGGCCGAGAATATGGGAACGCATGCTGGCCCCAACTCATGCTCTCTCGCCTAACTCATGTCTTCGTGGACTATGACCTGCTCGTGATGCGATGCGTTCGCCCTGCCCTCCACGGCGAGCGCGACTGACCCATGCGAGGCCGACGATTGTTCCGAACTCTGCTGCGCAAGTGAGTACTGACCTGACCTGCGCGACGACGAGGCGTCAGCGCGTGCCCGTCCTTGCCTTCGCCCAGGATGGACTCCGCCGCGCGCGCCTTTTTGCGTCGCTGCTCGTTCCCGTATGCGTCGCCGCCTGTGTGCCGCAGCGAGCAGCTTGGCCCCTCGAGCTCCATGGTTGCCCTGTCCCTTTAGCGGGTCGAATGGCGGGACGCGCCCCCAGGCGCGCCGCTGGAACGACTCGCAGCCTGAGCACGAGCGCCTGCGGGCGAGGCGCGTTTGCCGCCTTGGGCGCCATCGCCCTTCTAGGAGAAGCGATTGACAAACGGAACCGGAAGGAGGGGCAGGAGCAGCGGAGAAGTGGAGTCCTTGACGACGAACATCAGGAAGAATACACCAAGAGGAGAGGCATCCGTGCCCGTCGTCCACGTGTGCCCCTCCTGGTGGCCTTCTGCAAATTCTGCCACCGAGCCAGGGTTATTGGTGTGAGACTTCGTGAATGCCTGTTCGCATCTCTGGGGAAACCCCTGGGCAGCCCGGTGGAACAATACTGAAGCCTCTAGGGACGCTTTTCGGGGCCTCTTCGGGGCCTCTCGTGGCCCTCTTGGGTCCTCTCGGGGGAGGGGTCCTTGGGGGCCTGCTGGCGATCTTCGGGGCCCTTGTGGGGCTGAGGCCTCGAAATATGGGTTCGCATCCCGCCCCCCCCCCCCCCCACGAGCCCCTCTTGGGGCCTTCATGGGCGGTTCTGGGGCCCTCGTGGGCCGTTTGGGGGCCCGCTTGGGCCGTACTGGGGCCCGCTGGGGGACCTCTTCGGCCGTTGGGGGGCTCTCCCAGGGGCCTCTGGGTCATTCTTGGACGCTGGGCACGTGAAAACAACGCTTGCGATAGTTAGAAACGTACGTTTTCCCACGGGAGCGGGGCGATTTTGCCTCTTCGGGTTCTCTTGAGGGTCCTCTTGGGAGCCGTCTTGGGGCATACTGGGGGCCTGCTGGCGATCGTCGGGGTCCTCTCAGGGCGGAGGCCTCGAAATGTTGGCTCGAATTCCCTCCGCGGGGCCCCTGTGGCGCTCTCTTCGGCCGCCTTGGGCGGTCCTGGGTGCCTCGTGGGCTAACGGACAGTAGAATCAAGCATGTGATCGAAATCGCCATCGGTGAAGTTTACAACGGAATGACGGGCGAACCCATGTCTCGCTCGCTGCGAACGTGTACTGCGTGGGTCCCTCTTGGCCCGTCATGGGGAGCTGAGCCCATCTTGGGGCCCTCTTGGGGTCTTCTCCGACCATGTAGGGATCCTCCGGTGGCCCCCTCGGGCCCCCTGGGGAATCTCTTGAGCCGTCTTGGAGCTCACTTGTGCTGCTTGAAGCTCTCTTCAGGCCGTCCTGGGGCCCTCTTGGGGGCCTCTTGGGCCGTCTGGGGCCGACTTGGGGAGCCTTTGGGGCCGTCGTGGCCGCTGTTAGGATTGAACAAACGAAATTACATAAAAATATATGCTTTTCTCTCGGAAGACTTGGTTTTTGCCCTTGGGGGGCTTTCTCGGCGGCCTCTTGGACCGTCTTGAGGGAATCCTTTTGTGTCTTTTTGGCCTGTCTGGAACCCCATTTCGACCGTCCTGGGTCCCCTTCGGCCCGCCATGGGGAGCTGAGCCCGTCTTGGGGCCCTCTTGGGGTCTTCTCCGACCATGTAGGGGTCCTCCGGTGGCCCCCTCGGGCCCCTTGGGGACTCGCTCCGGCCGTCTTCAAGCTCTCGCGTGCTGCTTGCAGCTCGCTTCAGGCCGTCTTGGGCCCTTTTGGTGGCTTCTTGGGCCGTCCGGGGCCGATATGGGGAGCCTTTAGGGCCGTCGTGGCCGCTGTTAGGGCGGAGCAAGCGAAGACCAATGGAAATAAATGCTTTCCCATGGCAGATGCTTGATTTTGGACCTTGGGCCTTCTCGGCGGCCTCTTGGACCGTCTTGAAGGAGCCCTTTGGGGCCGTTTTCTGACCCGTCGGGGGGCCAATTTCGGCCGTCCAGGTTCCCTCTCGGCCCGTCCTGGGGAGCTGAGCCCGCCTTGGAGACCTCTTGGGTTTTTGTTCTGACCAGGTCGGGATCCTCCTGCGGCGCTCTCGGGGCCCTAGGGGACTCTCTTGGGCCGTTTTGGAGCTCTCCTGTGCTGCTCGAAGCTCTCTTGAGGCCGTCTTGAGGCCGTCTTGGGGGTTTCTTGGACTGTCTGGGGCCCATGTGGGGAGCCTTTCGGGCCGTCGTGGTTGCGGTTGTCGGCCTTCTCGGCCTGATTTTTGCTTTTGGGGGGCCTTCTCGGCGACCTCGTGGACCGTCTTGAGGGCCCCTATGGTCGTCCAGGATCAATATTGGGCTGTCTGCGAGCGCTCGTGGGCCGTCTGGAAGCCATCTCAGTGCGCTCTTCAACCATCTTCCAGACAACCTGAGGCGCTTTGGGAGCCTCTTGGGCCAGCTTGGGGGCCTCTGGGGGGGTCCAGGGCCCCTCCTGGACCCTCTTGGAGCCCTCAAGGCCACCCCAGACCCCCATGCAAACCAGGGGTCGCGGTTCTGGGCCCTCCCCCGCCTTATTCCGATGTGTATGTGCGTGTGTATGTATGTAGGTATGCGATGGATATATATATATATATATATATATGTATGAGTGTATGTGTATATATACATATATATGTGTATATGTGTATATATATATATATATATGTTCGCCCCTGCCATCATACCTTTCGCCTCCTGTCGTACCCACTTCCTCTTCATTCGCCTCCTCATCCTTCTCCCCGTCCTCCTCGCTCTCATCCTCCTCCCCATTCTCCACACTATTCCTCATTATCTCTCTCCTCCTCCTTTGCCTCATCCTCTTCATACCCATCAATATTCTCTGTTTCATCATTCTCTTCATTCGCCTCCTCATTCTGTCTCCTCCCAATTCGCCAGATTCGTCTCATTATCTTCCTCATCCTCCCCCCTCCTACATGATCAGCCGTCTTGCCTTCATATGTGTGTATTATGTTTGATGTGTCCCTACTTCTTCGGCGGGCGGCCGAATCTGAACATAGTAGAATACTACTGTTTTGGTTTTGGAGCCTGCGGGGCGTTGCGGGCGACCCACGATGAGCATATTATTATTACTTGTTTTACTTTGTAGCCCGCGGGGCGTTGAGGGTGACCCAAGATGAGCAGATGACATTATTACTTGTTTTATTATGTAGACTGCGGGGCGTTTGATTATTGAAGGTTAAAGGCTCCTCCCGAAGAGAGTCAAACATGTAACATAACATGTCCGTAGGTACATCGGCTCAAACATTCACCCACACTTTTTCGGGCATCGCTGCCAACCAAGCCTACTCCACAAGATGATCCCGATCACGGGCGGTATGGCGCGGATCCCCCATGGGGGGGCTGCTCGGCTGGAGCTACAGTTCTCTGAGGAGCACCCCCTTCCCACAAAGAGATCCTAGCCCACAGCAGCACACGAGACATTGATATTCACGCGTCTCGGTTGCCTTTCGGCAAGCAGGACTTCCACGTGTGCGCAATCAACGCGCAGCGAACTCTCGGCTTGCGGGCGGGGGTCAACGGAGAGTGGTCGGACGCGGCTTGGGGGAAACTTCGCGCTTGTTTGCGCAAGGAGAATTTGAAGCGCGGCAACGGGCCTTCGCTCGAGCGCATGGCTTTGCCCTGGCCTCTTCTTGGACCAGCTGCCCAGCCTCCCTTGCTTGCGCTCCCTGCGGCGCCTGCGCCGGCCGCGCTCGCAGCCGCGGTGGCCGCGCCCGCCGCGCCTTCGAGCGACGAGGAGTAACCGGCAACCTACTCCGACCCCGACGAGTCCAACGCGGAGAGCGAGAGAGCGACTCCGACAACGACAAGAGCCAAGAGCAGAAGGAGAACCAGCCGAGGAAGAGCGACACCAAGGAGGACGAGCACGACCTTCTGAGCGAGCTCCAGCTGATGAACAAAATCCCACGCCACGAGAACGAGCAGCTGGAGAAGGACAAGCAACGCCTCCGGCAGGAGAACGCACGCGTGAAACTCGAGCTCAGCAGGGCGGCGGCCGCACCTTGAAGCGAGCTTGCCGCGCTGCGGCCGCGCGCAGGAGCCTGAAGAAAATCAGCATCATAGTCGTGGAAAGCCCGCAGGAGACGCGAGGGGGCGCGGGGTGGCAGGAGGGCTGAGGTCACAAACACACACACACACGAGATCCACCAGGGGGCCCTGGAGTAGACTCAGGAAGAACCCAAGGAGAGGGCAGCAGAAAATCTTATGAAACACCATCACCAATGATAACAACATAAATTGTCCTTGCAGCTTCTTTTCTGGCTCGAAATAGGGTTCGGTTTTGTTGTCACTCTGTCATAGCGCATAGCGCCCCTGTGCTATGAAGCGCCCTGCCGCTTCCGCTGCCGGCGCGGCGAAGCGCCCCGCCGCCGCCGTTCGCGGCGCGAAGAAGGGCGCCATCGCCAAGCGCCCCGCGGCCGTAATCAAAAAAATCCCAGAGCCCAAGACGGGGGAAGGCCCGCGTACAAGGCAAGAAGGGGGAAGGAGAAAAGCAATGCCCCCTACGTTCGCACCGCCAACGGCATCCGCAAGACACGGAAGGAACGCAATGCCTGGTGCCGCAATATCGACTCCTTCGACACTGAGGACGAAAAGAAGCTCGTGGACCTCTTGATCAAGGACGGGGTTCTCGTCGATTGGTCTGGGTTGAAGTGCCCTTTTTGCGGGAAGGGCACCCTCGGCGAACGGTGAACCTTGGTTTGGGGGAGCGGTTCGGGCTGTGCGTGGCGATGCAACGACGGGAAAAATGCGGAGAGCAGGCGCGCCCCACTCACTGCCACCCCATTTTCACCAGCGGCTGGGAGAAGGAGACATCGTCGTTGCGGGGCAAATGCAGGGTCTTGTTCGGCCTTCTCACGGGGATGACTACCGCGCAGATGCACCAGCAGTGCGGCACCAACCACAAGATGATCGAGAAGATGACCAGCAACCTCGAAATTGCTCGCAAGCAATACGTGGGAAAATACGAGAAGGACATCGTGCACGGCAACGGCAAGACTTGGGTTGGCGCCGAGGCCGACGAGTCCGTCTTCGCTTCCGCGGTTACGGAGGACAAGGAGATGAAGGAGTGGGAGCAGTGGGCAGGGATGGCGCAGCGGGGCGAGCCAGACACGCCGGTGCTGTTTAGGACTGAGTCGGACCGCGCGACGAAGAAGGCGCCGGGCCCAGGCGCTATCAAAAAAAAACAACTGGAAGTCCTTCCTCTTGAACCGCCTCAAGGACCGCAAAATGATTCCCCATTCGGACGGTGCCGGGAGCTACAAGATGAAGGTCCCAGAGATCTTCCACGATTCCGTCAGGCACTGCAAGAAGCGCGTGAAGCGCGGGGGGAAGTGGGTGGGTGAGGGCCAAGCCCGTGCACGCCAAGATTGCGAAGCACAGGCTCCCGAGCGGCACGGCGCTAAAGGTGAAGGCGAGAACGCAGAGTATAGACAGGGCCTGGAAACGCGTGAAGAACCGCATCGGCCCCCGCACCTACAGGCCGCACAGCAGGGCGATTGTCGCGCGCAGTCGCTCCGCGCAGTGAGAGCACTGGCATCGCGGACGCGCCCCGTGGCCTGCCGCGGGCGAGATGGCGTGCGATTTGATGGGCTCCACGTTCTGAGGGCACTGGCGTTGGCTGGCGGTGTATAGAGCACTCTTCGCCTTTCTGCGGCTGGGGGCCGCTGAGAGGCGTGCGATTCCGCTGCGCGGGGAAGCAGGCGGCCAATGCTGACCGCTGGATCTATGAAACCGGAGAGCAAGCGACTTCTCCCCCCTCCCCAACAAACGCGCGGCGTGGGGGCACGCGGATCGTGCGCGGCAGTCTCGGTCACGGCCGCAGGGAAGAGCGCCGTTCCGCTGCGGTTCGGGTTCGAGCGACAGCCGTCGCGCCGCCCCCAGCTGCCAAGCTTTCGCCCCAAGCTTCCGCTTGCGCCCGCTGTCTGACACGGCGAGCCTGACGGCTGGCAACATCAAATCAATGGGAGAGACCGTCGGCGGCGACGCCCCCGCAACTGATCGAATCAAAAACACGTGGCTGCACGTGGCGGCGGCGCAGTCCTTGAAGAAACTCGACAAGCCCGAGCGTTTCCACTCAGACCCTCCCGCTGCTTTCGCCCTCCGCGACATGCCGCTCCAATGCGTGGACCACGTCGCGAAACTGAAGCACGTGGTGGATTGGATGACGCTGGGGGATGGCGCCGCGGAGCAATTGGACACAGTGGGCGTGTGCGACGCCGTGCGCGCGGGCAACTGCACGGCGTTGCCAGCCCCGATTAAACCCAACAAGGACCGCGGCGAACTCGCCTTCACCATGCAGATCTACATCTTGCCGAAGGACGCGAACGGCGAGCAGCGCGCGCTGAAGTACGCCAGGTTCGAGAACAAGTTTCGGGCCGACATCGCCAAGGATATCTTCGTTGCAGGCAAGGCGCTGACCATCCACTGGGGGAGCACGGCCGACAACTACACGCCACTCAGGCTCTTCTACCAGATGATGGACAGGTTGGGCGGGGTGCAGATCCGCCATTGGGCCCAGCCGCCCGCGGCCGGCGCCGCCGACGGCGGCGGCGGTTGCGACAGGGACAAGCGAAGGGCGGGCTACCGTTTCATAGAGTTCGGCCCGAGGGCAAACAACCGCAACCAGTTCGCGGAGTGGACCGACGAACAGATTAACGACGAGCAGTCGCCAATCTTCGTTTGGCTGGCAGCGGAAGTCAAGGAATCGCTCCGCAACTACGCGTCGGGCTCTGTTGGCGCGAAGACACTCGAGCGCTGGGCCGCCGCGCTCAAGCGCTTCCACCCGTTCGAGTTCGACAACGTCGTCGCCCCTGTTCTCAAGAGCCACGACGTGCAAAGGGCCCTGTGGGTCGGCAAGACCAGGGTCGGCAAATCCACGGCGTCGAAAACCATCGGCTCCGCAATCTCCGCGTGCCAGATTGATAAGAATAGCCGCGCCGACCTCCGTCCGAGCGTTGTCACGACTAAGAAAATCGACGTCTTGCGGCTCGATCATGGAACTGCGTTCAAGCCCGCTATCCCGGACGACACCGCCCTCGCGAAGTGGGCCCCCGATGAGATCCAGGCCCTCCTCGACCCCGCCGAGGAAGACGCGCCGTTGTGGGCAAGGCCGCAGAGCGCGGATAACGCGCGCCGTCAAAACTAACCATCAAACACCCAACGGCGACAAGCCATGGTTTACATGTCGGCTTTGATGCGCGTCGTTTTCCGCGCGCTGCATAGGTGGGGCGGCGCCTCCTTCGAGCGGAACCAGCCCCGCCAGATCTGCGCCAACCCGTGCGATCAAGAGTTCGAGAAGAAGGCGTATTCTTTCCGTGCAGGCCAGTAAGTGATCAAATTCGACGACTTCCTCAAAATCATCGATCGTAACTTCGCGGGCGAGAAGCAGAGCGGCTGCCAGATGGCGGACGTGGAGGCGCACCTGGCGAGGTCCAACATCGCGCTCCTCACTGACGACTGGATGCACCTGTGGCTGGCGCCTACGACTAAGGATCCAGCCCCCCGCTTCCCGCGGCCAGTGCCCGAGAAGCCAGACCTCTTCACGCCCGAGACCGCCCCTATCCTGAAGCGTTCCAAGAAGGGCCAGACCTTCGCGCTGCCCGGCTACGACGCGCACGCGAAGCAGGCCGCGGCCGCCATGAAGAAGCTTGCTCGCGGCGAAGACATCGGGCGTTCGAAGACGATTCGCGACCCCGCGCTCTTCGATCAGGACGCGCCCCCGAGGCATGACTTCGCTGCAATGGGCGGCGAAATGGGCGTCGGCGCCGACGCCTCCGTCGCCGCCAGCGCGGCCGCGCCCCCTGCGCCCGCCACCCCAGGCAACCCAGACGACGACGACGCCGACTTTGGTCTCGGCGGCGAGACGGGAGGCGCCGCCGCAGCAGATGACAAGCAAGACGTCTTTGGCTTCGGCGGCGGGATGGGTGGCGACGACGACCCCCCCCCCGCGGCCGTCGCGGCCGCGCTCCCCTCGCCTGCGGCGGCGATTAAGAGGGGGCCAGGGGCGTTCCGCCAGCGCCTCATGATGTCCACGGATTGCGGCGCCATTGACTTGAGCACGCCGACGCCGAAGAAGAAGAATCGCATGGACCTCGAGGAGGAGCTCTCGCAGATGCTAGAGGACGACGGGGTGGCAGGCGCCGCGGCTGCGAGTTCGGGCGCTAGCGCGCCAGCGCGCCAGCGTGAGAGCGCTTGCGATGGGTGGCGCTCTGAGGGGGTGGGGGCAGCAAGCGGCCAATGCTGCCCCGCTGGGGCTACCTGACCCGCGCGCGCGCGACGTCTCCCGATGAGCGCAGATAGGGGCACGCGGCAGTCGCGGCTGCGGCCGCAGAGAGAGAGAGAGAGAGAGAGAGAGACGGAAGGGATCGGTGGGGAGTGTGGCATTGAACAAAAGTTGTGTTTTCACAAGCTCCCAAGTATTCCAGACCTTCCCACTAAATACCGGGTGTTTTCCAAATGTTCCAAATATTCCCAGATACTACCCATGTGAAAAAACCTTATGTTGTCCAGAGGTTCCAAAGATCCCAGAGATTCCCAGAGAAGACCCAGGTGAAAAACCTTGCGTTCTCCACGGGTTCCAGAGATTCCCAGAGATTACCCAGGTGAAAAACTTTGTGTCCCCCAGAGATTCCAGAGATTCCAAAGATTCCCAGAAACTACCCAAGTGAAAACCTTGCGTTTTCAAGAGATGTCAGAGATTCCAGAGATTCCCAAAGAGTGCGCTGCAAGGCTTTTCACCTGGGTAGTCTCTGGAATCTCTGGAACCCATGGAAAACGCAAAAAGTTTTCCAGCTGTGTAGTCTCTGGAAATCTCTGGAATCCCTGGAAAACACAGAAAGTTTTTCACATGGGTAGTCTCTGGGAATCTCTGATATCCGTGGAAAACGCAAGGTTTGTCGACTGGGTAGTCTCTGGGAATCTTTGAAATATTTGGGATCTCTGGAAAACATGAGGTTTTTCACCTGGGTGGTATCTGGGAATATCTGGAATATCTGGAACCTGTGGAAAACACGTGGTGTTGGAAAAGAGAGAGAGAGAGAGAAAGAGAGAGAAACAAAAAAAAGAGAGTGGTAGAGAGAGAGGGAGGAAGAGCGAGAGAGAGAGAGAGAAACAGGAAAAGAAGCAGTCGAGGATGAGGAAGGGGGAAAGGTATGATAACAGGTGGGCGACCATATATATATATATATATATATATATATATATCCGCATCTATAGATGTTTGTATATAAATATACACATATATACATATATATATATATGTATGTATATATAAAAATATATACCAGCCGGCCCCCTTATGGGGGCGCAAGGCTGCGAAGGTGTGTAAGGTGTGCTGTCATGTGTTATGTGTTGCCAGTTGTCGGTTGGCACTTTATCTCTCCAGTTCTGTTTCATGCATCGTGCCTACTGTCTGCTAAGGGGTCCCGCCACGTCACCAAACAGCCAACGGGGGGGAACTTCAAATCCAGGCTGCTCTTGGCCACCTCAAGATTCTTCTGGTGACGCCACCGCGCGGCCAGAACGGCCCAAGAGGCCTCCAACATTACCCGACGAGGCTGCGAAGAGAGCTTCAGGAAACCAAGCCAAGAGGGCCCGACGAAGCATAAACCAACGATTTGCACAGTTTGTGAAGGTTGTTGGCCTTTTCGCCTTTTTTGGCTTTCCGACGCTCCGAGACGGACCCAGAGGTTCCCAAAATCGTCTCACGACTGCCATAGAAACCCCCATGACGGCCCAAGAGGCCCCCAGGACGGCCGAAAAAGGCCCCAATACAGTCAACGAGGCGCCCCAGACGACCGAAAAGGAACCCAAGGTGGTCCCAAGGGAGG